GTACCCTTCTCTCTTCTTTTTCCCCCTTTTTTTTCATAAGAGATCCACGGCGAGCAACGTCCTGCCGACGCACGCGTCGTCGTAAAAACAGAAGGACGCGGACACCGTTGGTAATAAAAATTCGGCTGCGACGAAGGGGAGGTGGACCCCGGGGCCACATTGCGGGGGAAGTATACGATAATAACTAATAAAAATCAGCTAACTGCTTGCAAGATATTGCCGCGCTAATTGCTATCGTAAATTTTTTCCCTCGATCGGTGTGTAACATCGGCGTGACATGAACGCTCGTGTGCCAATCGTAAATTAGACTTGATATATCGCTAGGATAGGATGGATTCCTCCTTGCGACAGTAACGGCAGAAACATCTGCACGTATTCTTTTCTAAAGAAAAAAAAAACACTTTCTCGTTATAATATATATAAAAAAGTAATAATTTTTAATAGCAATAATTGATAATTGTTATTTCTTTATCATTACACAGAAAGATTTATTTGAACTCGGAACTCCTATTCATGTTTATTTCATTGAAATAATTTAACTTTGAATGAAAACTATTTTGTTTAATCCCAAAAATTTAGCTTGAATGCAATCAATTACATTCCTTAATTTAAAGAATCAATTTAGTTAAATTATCAATGATTACATTTATTACATGTAAAGAAATCTTTCTCTCTATGTATTGTCTTTAACCCACTGAGATTGTATAATAACTCATAATGAATACTTATGTAATAGGTACGTTCCATGAAAACGAGCTGGACTTAATAAAAAAATTTATTATTCTTTAACCTTGACATGGAAAATCCATTATAGTGACGCTGAAATAATGTCATATTTTAAAACAAGAAATAAAAATGAAAAATAATGAATTATAACAAATATCTTAAGGTAAATGTCCCTATTTGTGACCATGTAAGATAGTCGCATGAGTTAATAAGATTAAAAAATACTAAAAAAAATCATTAAAATCAGGAATCAATTTTACCGAACTCAAGATTAATCATTTTTATATCGAAAAATATGTTTTTCTGAAATTCTAAGCATAATCTAATAAAAATAAAAAAAGAAATAGCGGACTATGTAAATGTACGCATTTGTGACCGTTTGAATTTAATCTGGCCCTATTAATGACATCATCATTTGTCCCGGTTAGTGACTGGTGCATCAGATGAAATGTACCATTTAGGCCCAGTTTCACAATTCACGGTTAACTCTTAACCGAGGTTCAACTTATTTCTCATCTTTTTTCAATTCTAGAATTGAAAAGAGATAATTAATAAGTCGAACCTCGGTTAAAAGTTAACCGTTGTGAAACTAGGCCTTAGTGACCGGCGGATTAATTTTCTTGACGTCAATTTGATGTCACATTGACGATCATTTCTCGTTCAAATATCGATAAAAATATACTCATTCGATACGTTTTCGCATAAAAATAAAGATTTGACAGAAAAAAAGCGTCGCGTTATCCTGTGAACAGAGATGTTAGCCTGATATTTCATGTATCTTTAATCAAACGTAATGTCTATTTAGAAAATCTGTCACTGCAGTCTTACTTTCGTGCTCTATGGCCACAAGTCACTCGCTGTAGTACAGGGCACGAAATTTGAACTCAATAGCACACACTAAATAATAAGCTTTCTTAATTTGGTCAAAAAAATTACTCAATGCTTAAGTTGTAAACAAATAATTTAAAACTGTGGTCATAAATAGGTACAGAAACACACGATGTCCCACTTAGTGACCTAAGCAAAAGTTATTAAAATTTTCCCTCGAGCATACGTCGAATATTTTCGGTTTATTCGTACAAATGCAACTCACACTTGTCCATAAACAAATAGAGATGAGTATTGTTTTCTTTTCAAAAAGAGGAGCGATATTTAATATTATAACTAATTTTCTTGAGACGGTCACAAATGGAAACACGCGTGTTTTGTTGTACCTATTTGTCACATTCATCTATATGTTCAAAATTACTAACCTTTTTTAGAATCCACGCATAGCATAATATTTATTAAGTATTCACTGACACTTTTACGAAAAAACTATATTCTTCAACGTTTTATCTCGGACTACATAACAAAAATGTGACTGTTCCGTGACAAACGCCGTCTACTAACATGGCGACAAACATGTGCTCAATCTGCCACTGATGGAGACACGAGCACCTTATTTCACATTTTCATGAATATTTGTTAGTCAAATATCACTGAAACCATATATCAAACCATGGCTAACTAATCGTTAAACGTGATAAATACCCTTTGCGAAGATAAATTACTTAAAACATCTGATTAATTTAATAAAAGTCCACGAGTGGTCACAAATAGAGTCATGGTCACAAATAGAGACATTTACCTTACTCAAAGAAAAGTTGAAAAATTTTTTTAATAGGTCATTGCCCTCTAAAAGTTAAGATATATTTTTATCTGGGGATTATGTACGTAGTATATAAATTTACACAAGAATCATACAAGCATTTAAGATCTAGCTACACCGTTTAAGGTTTTGATTTCTATAGTTTGTATTATCACATATAAGGTCCTATAATATATTATATTGTATATATTTTTATATATATTCAATGGATTAATAAAAATAATTTAGATCTAATATTAATACCACAAAACGAAAAAAATGGCAAGAGAGTATTGCAATAAACTGCCTCCTTACCATTCGTATCGATCGCACGTACAGAAACGATGAAAGAAATTTTCATAAAGCGATTGCACGCATCCGCGACATAAGCGACCGCGAGGATCATAGATTTACATGCAACTCTATCCGCGGAATGTAATTTATCGCTTAGTAGAAAAAACTGCGCCAGCGGCACGTCCCACCGCGAAATGAGCGTTCGCAAACAAAGGAAAACTACTATTGCGTTTACGGAATGTAATGCGCGCGGCAAAGTTAGATGCAAATGCCGAGTCTATCCTTACATCGCGGAAAAAGATAAACTCCTTGCTAAGGCGCCGCGCGGAAATGACTATTTTACGAGTGTTTCGTTGGGTGAGTCCACGAATAAAAGTTTATTACGCCGCTCGGGATCCCACGAGCCCTCGTACACGAGAAGAGGTCCCTTAGCACGAGGCATCTAACGAAGAAATGCCGCGTTCTTCTTTATGACGTGCCCGATATCAACGGGAAGTAATTTCCAACGAGAATTACGTTACTGAGAAAGTTAATCGTCGATTATCTTTTTCTCTTGGCCTATCTGGGGCTCTATTCTTGAAAAGCAACGTATACGAAAGTCTATGGAAATGCTACAGTATACGTTACGTATACTATAGTATTTCCTTAGACTTTCGTATACGTTTCTTTTCAAGAATAGAGTCCCTGATCTGTTTTTCAACTTTCTTCCCCGTTTATATGTGTAATCGCAGCAAAATTTTCATCTACTAATTAACGTGAAGCTTGAAAAGAGAAAATGCGTTTCAATTGTGATTATCTTATTGAAATTTTATTTTTTGGAAATCGTATAATTGTACATTTTCAAATGTTTAAACAAGATTTTTCTTTTTATACTGAATATTGCAGACTAGTTTTCTATATATCCTTCATTTCTAGAAAGATTTTATACATCGCGATATAACTTGCCTACATCTTCATGCTTCTTCAAACGAGTTGGCTTTCTGAATATTCAATTAAGTCAGATTGCATACGAAATTTCATTACGTAGTTGAAACAACGGCGGCAAGTGTTCCGCTCTTCAATCTGTAAAGTAGTCTGTTTATGCACAATCTCTTTGTATGTACGGATCCGTAAAGTGCTATGAAACATTCGCATCACTCGCGATACGGGCACGCATTTCAAGTAGCTTTGTATGCCCGATGAGAATAATGAGAGAGGCAAGAATTTGTGATGTCGAAATTAAAATTTAATTAACGAATAAATCATTTTTTCGTGGAAAAACAAGCAATGTATAATTCATTATTGACTTTTCACATTATTTTCAAATAACATTTCAATTATTTTACGTTTTAAGCGTCAATCATAATTAAAACTGTAATCTGTATACTCGATATTATTCTATATACATTCATAATGTAATTGCAATACGTATAATAAAAGAGTGGATTATTCTCAATTTATATTTTTTTAATTTTTAGTCTTCATTTTGCAGGATTTTATTACGTTTCCATCTGACAGACGCGATGTTTAATGCATGGCAGAAAAATGCGAGCCAACGATACTGCGTATTTGCGATGTTATTAACGGTAAATATCTCTTGATGTTGGGAGATGCGTCACCATTAACGCTGATATTTACTATCACGCGGTGATGGCATATTGTCAGATAAACGCGAATTTTTATTCGAGACACGAAATTCGAATCGAACGATCGTGAATATCGTCAAATAGCATCTCTTTGAAGACTGGCAGGATTTGCGTGCCATCCACCCTCATGGTCCGCAAATACTCCGATCTCTTGCAAGAATCAACGGCGAGAGACGGGAAAGAAGAAGGCGCGACGGAAAGGAAGGAGCCAAATCTCTATTTTCGCAGTCTCGCAAAGGCAGTCCTGAATAGATACGATAAGAATCTTATATCAGTATGGATGATGTCGCGAAATACAACAAAGTAAACTATCTGACACATTGTCGCGACACCAACGAGCGGCGCGTCGTCGCTTGAATATTGATGTGTCGCGCTTTCGCTTTCAAACTCGATGGACTTTGAACAGAAATCGAGATGAATTGAGACGAAGTTTCTGAAGACCGGAAACCATTGGATGTTTTCACGTACCTAAAATTCTACGTGTTTGCAGCTGCGGAGCACGTAACGGTACTTGATCGCTATTCTAATTTAACTCGCAGTATTCAAGCTTCGTGAAACAAGTTAGTGCGAGCTAGCTTGAAATGCAGTAACGATGCAGTTACGGACTATAGCAGGGATTCAGCAACAACGTGACTAAGTGCACCCGCCGCGTGGAAATTTTCTAAAATTACCGTAATCCTGTCAAGGACTTACGACTACCGACCCTTGAACTCTCTGGCCTAACTCTAGATGGGCTTCGTTGTTTCACCTGCTAACGTGATTTCATGTCGTCGACCTAACCGCGTGGTCTTCACTAGTGGTCTTCGCTCGTAATAAGCTTTACAAATATCTTCTAGACGCATATCAAATTTGTGCAAGAGATTACGCGTATTATGCGCTTTAATTTACAACGCTTTGTTAAAAATAAATTTTCATAAGAGTTACAATTAATTCTGTAAACTTGACACATAATTCGAGAAAAAAATAATTCCTTTATAATAGTTACTACATATACCTAGTTGCTGTAAATGGTTTTATTTCAGGTTCCAATTTTTATATGTACCTAATTGATTTAAATCTATTATTTAATTCAAAATTATTATAGATTATAAATTTATTAAACATAACAAACGGAACGTTTGCAAAATTGTATAGCCATATTTTTTCATATTCAAAGAGATGCAAATAAAAAGGATGAGCTTTTTTCGCCATTTTGCTCAATCTACATCAGATATGATGAGTCTTATTCTTAGTCTGATTCTTCTTAGGGATAAGGGTTGTATCTTGCTTCCACTTTTCCTCAAATATTCATAGAACTATCGCGTATAAAATCGTTTATGTGCGTGCGTATATAATATGTATAAATGTATGTGTCTGTAGTGTGTTGAGCTCGGGTCCGTACGGGTTTGCTAAGCCCAAATGACTATGCGGATCAACCATGCCTGCGGGTTGTATGGTCGGGCTAATAATTTAGCCTCTTAAAAACCAAACTGATCACACACAACCTCTACCTTTTATCTCAATCATAGCAAGAACACATGATTAGCTTCAATTTTCTCTATTTTTTATTTTTCTGAAAGTCATGAGTTTATTTTCTAAGAAACTCATTTCATACAGCAAGTGTCACCTGTTGGTGAACGGATGGAAACCATTTTTGCTGGTGTTCTCACGGATCAATATTCCTTGATGGTAAACGCTATATGGCGTACTTTCACTTCTGACACGTGGGTTCTTGTCTAAGCTACAGTAAATCAGATTTTATTTAAATCACAACTTAAATTTAAATTTAAAATTTAATTTATTAGACTATTTCATTAATTTGAATTTGGCTCAGTTTAAAAAAATTTGCACAAGTATAAAATAGCTATAATTTAATATATTTTATTATCGATCATATCTTTTCATTCTTTTTTAAAATGGACTAATTTATAACAGATCTATGTTGAATAAAACATTGTTTCTTAGCGTAGGTATTAAATGTTGTTTTATTAGTTTTAAATCACAATTAAACATATCGTTTATCCTTTGGACATTTATTACACTCGTAACCATTTCCGAAAGTCTCAATAGACATGTAGTTCGAAAGCTAGCAGTCGACCACCTGTGAGAACGTCGCGAGAGAGAACTATCGACATTCTGAGATCAGTGTCCAATGTCTTGGTAGGTTCTCCGAGTATCGTGTAGTTTCGACATTGACGTATTTTTCACTCGTAATGTGCCGGCAGCGCGCTTGCAAAATATCGCTCGTGGCTTCGTCTCGGATTGGATCTATGCGACTCTTGTCGTCACACTCGATCGACTTTTCGTCTCGCGGCATGTAAAAACGTGGGATAATCGCGTGAGAGATATTGTAAATTTATCTCTTGTCAAAAGCAGGCGTATATCCTGTTAATTATATTACATAAATTTCTCCTATCCTGCACTCTAAATTTTTTGCAGTAAAATCTCACTCCAATATTGAAATTCCATAGAGGTGAACTTTCGAAAACGGCAAACGCTCGATTATCATAAAATTTGGTAGAAATACTCCAAATGATGTTAAATGAATACCCTTAAATGGATTTTTACCGACAAGAAAGTTTAATGCCAAAAATGTTTATCGCAGTTTATATAGGAGATGAATGGAGGGGATGCGTATGTAGAAGGAAAATATTTATTGTGTGTGT